TTGGTGTATCGGAGGTGTCAGTGTACTGTACCACCAGTGAGTGCCCCTGTGTCCCAAGGACATGAGAGAAGAGTATGTGGGTTACTCAGTTATGTCTTTCTGGCTGAGCCCTGGATGTCAGGAGCAGGTAGGCTTCTGAGCTACTTAGAAATCGCCTGATGCTTCTGTGTGGGATGCCACCTGTGCGGTTCTGTCTTAAAATGATGGGTAGTAGCATCTGTATACATAATTTTTTTTGTCCTCCCCTGTATACATAATTTAAAATAAATTAACATTTCTATTTTGCCTGGGATAAGTTTGTGTACTGCTGGGATTAGAGGAAAAAATGAGGATGTAGTGAACGGTTGAGAAGCATTTAATAGCATTCCAAGATTCGATGTTCTCAGTATGAAGTTCTTTCTGTTAAACAAAGGTAGGTATATGTATGTATGTATGTATTAGTGGTAGGAAGATAGGTATATATACAGGAAGGGAAGGATGGATATATGGAAGACTAACAGTTTATTTTAGAGTGGTGAGATTTTAGATGCATTTTTGAGGAGTCTATGTTCATCTGTTTGTTCTAAATGTTTTTGTAATTAATGTGATTGTAAAGCAGGAAGTGTCCTAAAATAAACTTGGAGAGGTAGACATGGGCGAAGTCATGCACTGTGTGTTAATAGTGTTCCTACTATGTATTTCCATTTCTCCTCTTAATGGACACATGGAGGGTGGAGCCTTCCTGAAGCTAGGCACGCCACATGCCTTTCTCTGTCAATGAAATGTGAGCCAAAGTAACATCTGTCTCTGCCGGGTGGAATCCTTTGAGATCCTGTATGCAACTCTCAGCATTCTCTTCCCCCTTCTGTGGAGTCTGGTGTTATTACAGATGGTGGAGGCTCCATCTGCCTGGGCCCCTGGCTCACCGCGATGAGCATGGACCCGCCGACCCTGCGTAGACAAGAAGTGTGAGCGAGAGATAATCCTGGGTTGCTTTAATACATGGAGATGTGGGTGCTGTTCCTTACTGAAGTGCATCCTGATTGATACAGAGGATCATATGAGCCATGCTAAGGAATTTGGACCACATTTAATTGGTCATTTCAAGCTCTAAGAGGTGTTTTTGTTGGTTTGTTTTGCCAGGCAGAGAGCAGACTCTGGCCAAACAAGGCCTGAACTTTCCATGTTCCAGATGGCATGTGCTAATTCTAACACCTCTTAATGAAGTCCTGGGTTCCTTGGTGATGATGGAACAGTTCTGTATCTCGAATGTGGTGATAGTTCCATGAATCTATACACATGATAAAATATCACAGAATTATGGACAAAGATATACCAAACAAAGAAAAGAAAATGAATGTATCCTAAAACTGGTAAAATCCCTTTAATAACTGTGGTCTAGTAAATTGTATTGTGCCAGTGTTAGTTTTCAGATTTTAATAATGTTCTATACACATTTAAAATGTTGCCAACAGAGAAAGGTGGCTGATGGGTATATGGGCACTCCCTGTACCATTTTGGCCACTTCTTGAGAGTCTATAATTAGTTCCAAATAAAAGTTAACAATGACAAAAAATGTATGAGTTAAACCAAGGAAGTGAATTGTGGTGTTACAGATTCTCTGCCAGACTTGGCAGGAAATCTCACCTTGGTAGATGTGGTCTCTTGTCCTCACCTAACAATGAGCAAGCAGTTCACTCCTCAAAAATGGGTTCTGCTTACAGTCTGTCAGCCACGTTCCCATTTAGAGCACGCCCCACAACAAATGTTTCTATAAAGCTGCTAAGTTTGTTAGACAATAGGAAGAGCAGCCCCCAACACACACTTAAACACACACACACACACTTAAACACACACACACACACTTAAACACACACACACACACACACACACTTAAACAAACACACACACACACTCTCTCTCTCTCTCTAATTCTAAAAGCTACATTTTTCCTCCACTGACTTGCTGTATTACACACAGTTTCTCTACATCTCTCAGGGTTGGTAGCAGAAACAGGAAACTTGATACCTTGGGCAGGAGAATTACCAAAATAATAGTGTGTGGACTTGAATCACTATCCCCTGGAGCCTAGTAACCCACAGCTTGTGGATTAGTCTGTTGAACTACCTGATGGCTTGTGACCCCTTGTTCCCCCTGGATGTGTATGTTCTGATTTTGTTCTTATTGGTAGTGGCAGCTCTGTGCTTTATCTTGAAGTGAAGGGGGAGAATGAAAAGACAAGCCACCACTTGTAAGTTACATATGTAAAAGAATGCATGGGCCACTCGGCTGTCATTTTTTTGGGGATATTGCTTTGGGGTCACTAATGGGAATATTTTCCCTATTTTATGGGGGAAATAGGTACATGGTTTTTATTATAGGAGAGTACTTTAGAAAGTTCATGGAAAAATAGAACTGAAGGGTAATATGAATCTTTCCATGAAATTGTTGAAGTACCCTCATGTGTAGAATGCACCTCCCTTGGGGCTTCTGTAGGGGGCTGAATATCCCACTTTCCTTTTGTGATACATTCAGATTTCTGTGTGTGGCAGTGAGTGTCATGCTCCGTGTGAAGTGAGGTGGGGACCAGAGGAGGTAGATGACGGTGAAAGTTAAGTGTTTATGGGACATAAGAATCTCCTGTACCCCATAAATATGTCTAATCAAAAATAAATAAATAAATATTTTAGGAGGAAGAAAAAAAGAATCTCTGTGGGGAATAAAAGTTAGCCATTTACAGATTTTACACTCTGAAGAGAATTTTAACCATCAGACAAATAGACAGGACATGTGTAGTTTTACTCCTTATCTGGAGGCCGAGTCTCTCCACACAGGTGTGACCTCACCCAAGTCCTTCGTGTCTCTTGGTGACAGTCTCCCTCTTTACAGGAAGAGGGGTGTTGCCCCACCTTACAGTGGAACCTTCAGATCAATTATCCCTGATCTTAGGAAACTCTAACAAAACCCATATGTTGACATTTTCCCCTTTTCCTGGCTCAGGTTATTGCTTCTCCTCCCCCTTCCAAAATCTGCACATTTGAGCACCTGCCACTGGTATTTAAGACCAGGAATTTAAGTCTATATTGACCCATCATGCCTTTGCCCCTGATATGCTGTTGGAGTTTGGAAAAATCACTTTATCACTTCATACCATCTTTCTCTAAAACTGGGCTGTGTTAGTAGACATGACCTGGATCTTCCAGATTCTAATGTCAGTGATCCACGTTAGTGATGCCTGTCAGTGATCTGGCTGATGTGGTCTTCTGGGAAGACCGTTGGATATCAACATCATGTTATGTACCATGATGTACTATAGCCCACCCAAACCACCCTTTATTGCTTAGTGGCATCAGGGCAAGAATCTGGTACAATAAGTCAAGGGTTCAGATCTCCTTACTGTCCAGCCACCAGAAAGAACCCCACAAAACAAAACCAAACAAAACAAAAAGAGAATTTGGCACAATAGACATCTTATCTTTTTCTAGTTGAATTTATTAAATATCTTTTCTCTTCCAGACGGGATGTTAGGTGGTTAATAGTTATCCTCACAATTCCGAGAGTAGATAACTAACATTCATATTTTACAAATGAGGAAACTGAGGCTCAGAAATGTTAAATGGTCCAAAGTCAGTGTGCTTTCCAGCTGCTTCTGCCTGGTATTTATTGTTCAAAGCTTAGGAGTTGGGTTAGAGCCCAGGACTTAGGTGGCCAAGATAAACTGGCTGTTGATACATTAACCATCTCAGCACAGCTCGTACCCATCCCCGAATAAGACAATTAGGGTGGAGGATGTTCTTAGCAGTGCCATTTGCATCACTCTTCATGCCATTCCAGGTGTCATGTTATTCTCCTTTACCTTACTTAAGTATCACAGTCTAGACTAGAATTCCCAAGTTAACCATGTGTTTTATGGGACTCTTCTTATCTGAGTAGGCATGTGGCCCTGGTGTTCCCGACTTTATGTTCTTCAGAGGACCTAGATCTAAGAAATGATACTATGAAGGGTCTTCAAAAATTTAATGGAAAGATTACTATTATCTTTTAATTATATTTTCTACAAACTTTTAAAAGCATGCTTGTATTCACACTCTGAAGTCCATCCAGACTTAAAAGTTGGAAATGCCCCATAAATACAAGGCAAATTGGAAAGGCACCCTGAGCTATCCTTCCAGACTTGTGCCTTGAGGAATGTGTCCAGTGGAATGTGATGGCTTCAAATCCTGGACCCTCTAGTCCTTCTGATTTCTTGCAAGGAGGGATCTTGGGCTTTGGAGTCAGACTGACTTGGGGTCAGTCCTTACCCCACTTCTTAGCTCTGTCACCTCTTGAAAGATGCTACATTGTAAAATGGGGAGAATATTGCCTGTCTTTCAGTTGTTGAGAATTAAATGAGATGGTGTGTGTAAATGCCCAGCTCACGTTAGGCTCTGAATAGACAGTAGCCATTATTAGCATCATTATTATTACTAGTATGTGCCTTACTTATCTATAGAGTTTTCATGGTTACTAAGCCAGTGTTCTCTATGGGGCACAGGTTGGCCAGAGTCCAGTTGTATAAATGAGTCTTGCCTTGCTTTTGTACTTTCTATAAATGAATTGTCTTTAATTTTTGATGTGGGCTTGGTGGAATCATATCAGAACCTGAATGGCAGCTTTCAAGATAAAAATGTTGTCCTTTGCATGCTTGCCTGGGTCAGGCTTTGTCCTGGTATTTCATTTAGCACGCACATCGAAAGGAGATAATGTTAGCCTGAAGGCCCTTCGGAGCCTCTTCTCTGCGCTGAGTGAAACACAGCACAACCCCCAGCCTGCAGGTTTAGCAGAGTCCCAGCCTCACATCCTCCCCAACTTGGCAGTAAAAGCCCCGTTCTTCCATTCATCCCAATGATTTATATTCTCTCTGGGCGTCTAATATTAAACAGGGGAATTCCGACATGTTCCATAACACATTTACTGTAACTTGATACCATGAACTAAACGTGCTGTTATTTATCATTTCTTTTTATTTTCTCTCATTCCAGCATAAAGCCAAGGTAGAAGCAATGACCCTGGACCTCGCTCTGCTCCGTAGTGTGCAACATTTTGCTGAAGCGTTCAAGGCCAAGAATGTGTGAGTGTTCCAGTGCAGGGTTATAGATCATAATTTCTTGCTATTGTAATGTCTTTATCAGATGAACACAATTGGGAGAACGCAAGGCCGTTTTGTTGTCCTGGCGTCCAAACAGGAGGCTCATTTATATTGGCCCTGTTAAGGTGTACCATATTTTCTTGACTCTAAGTCACCCCTATTATGAGATGTGTCATCAATCTAGTAACAACTTCCCAGATTAAAAAAAAAAAGCAAAGACACTATTAAAGCACTAGTAAAAGTGGCTAATAAAAGAAGCCAGGCAATTGTAAGATGTGTGCTGATTGTAGACATTTTTCAGTGCATCTCAAAACTGAGCAAAATCATACTTTAATTGCATTCAGGAATAAGTAGCCTCAGAGCAAAGACACTATTAAAGCACTAGTAAAAGTGGCTAATAAAAGAAGCCAGGCAATTGTTAGAGGTGTGCTGATTGTAGACATTTTTGCAGTGCATCTCAAAACTGAGCAAAATCATACTTTAATTGCATTCAGGAATAAGTAGCCTCAGTTACCCAGTACTGCAGGGGGCTGAGGATCTGTGCGTGAGAGGGATCTGTTGTTTCACAAGGCTGTGATGATTTGACATGGTGTGTGACTTCAAAGACGTATACTCACATAGTGAGAAACTTACTCCGTTTTTTCATTCTTTTTCAGTCTTTCAAAATGCCTGAAGGAGAAAGCCTTGGTTAGGAGCTGGCATATTTGAATGCCATCACATCTAACTTTCCTTTCTAACTGGGGTGGGCGGAAGGGGGAGGAAGAGGAGACCTCAGACCCCAAATTAACTATGCTGTAATTACAATATTTTGTTTCCAAATGTTTATTTTTACAGTTACCTCATATTTAGGGCGAGCAATACTGGTTTCTCATTTAACATAGTGGTTTCAATTTTATTAATAAATAACTTCATTTCAGTGAGTTGATTCAAACACAAGGATTAAGTTAATAATAGTGCAGGTGGTGCCAAGGATAAGATAATTACACAAGTGGCACTGGAGGCACTGAATCTGGAAAACATTGATAAATGACACGCTGTCTTTGGGTTGGGCTCTGTTGGGAAGTTTTGCAGTTCTCCAAATAGATGCAGGATGTGAGGGTGGGGATCTTAAACCAGATATTCAAATGGTACTATGTGGAGCTGACCCCATAATGCTGCCCAGTATCCACTCCTTCTTGTGTCTCCTATAGTTTTTCAATCTGCTCTTTTAGACTATTTTTTAAAAGTTTGCTTTCTGAGGCTCTTTCTGGAGAGAGCAAGTGGTTGGAGTCCTTGAGGTCTGTATACTGAGTTGGGGTCTTTAGTGAGACTTGCATGATGCCCCACGTGCAGGTCCTGCCCTCGCCTGTGCTCACTCAAAGCAGCAGTTAGATAACATCCCCCAGCCAGGCAGCAGATCTGAGTGAGCCCTACTGTGTGCCCTTTGCAGTGCTTGGCAATGAGCAATTGCTAGCTGCTATCTCTTGCCAGAGCTATCAGAGAACCTCAAGTCAGGACGTATCAGTAGCTTTCAGGACATATGTTCATTTATTTTTGCATCATTCATTTCTCTATTTGTTCATTCACTTAATACACATGTAATGAGTGCCTCCAAAGCCGCACACATTCTTCTAGGCTCTGGGAACAGAATGGTGGCCATTAGAAGCCAAGTTAACCTCAAACAAGCCATAATCCCAGTTGTCAGCAAGTAGTGTTTTATTACTAATGGCAGACTCCTTAACCTAGCATGTCTGTGGTTGCTTGGGAGGGAATAGTACCAGCAGCAACAGCAGCAGAGGTAGCAGCTCAGTTACTGAGGGCTTGTTATAGGCCGCACGCTGAGACTATTTTGCATTCCTGTGGGGTAGATGCTATTATTATTTCCATTATACAGATGAGGAAAGTAAGGCTAGAGAGGATCAGTAATTTATATAAAAGTACATGGTAAGTAGAGGGGCTGAGTTAGCCACTCTAGGGCTTCATTTAACCACAATGCTGTGCCGTTTTTCATTTAAAAAATTCTAACTGTGATGGAAACTGAGACTCAGAAAGTGAGTGAGTTTCACAGGGTCATTTGGCAGGTGGGTGGCAGAGAGACTTTCAGTCCAGTTCTGACTTTCAAAAGAGTTCTGCTCTTTCCCTGATACTATGTGAGATCTTAGATTCACTAACTCTGAAGCTTCCTGCAATGCCTGTGTCTGACTGCACCGGAAGTGAGCAGCTTTTCCCAAGAGAACCACCTCTTGTGTAACAGGATCATCGTCCACGTCTTCATGGGACCATTAGTTTTTAACCGTTAAGTAGTTTGGAAATCATCATCAAATTCAAGTGACTTTTGTGATCACTACGCTCACACTCTTGGAGGAAGCTATCTCCCATTTTGCCCTAATCCTAGATTTTAGCAAATGACTGAATTTGTGTACTTCTAGGTTCAGAAACAAGGGTGATTTTCCTTTTAGAACACTCTGCAACACAAACTTCTTTGTATCTGTCTCTGGAGAGTACAGGATTTTACATGGCTTAGAGAAATACTGTAGTGGCGAAAATATGCATAAAAAAGCGAGTGATTTTACTTTTGAAATACTGCCAAAGTGAAGTCTCTCATGGATAGGCAGATGACAGTTTAGTACTTACAGGTCTTTAGATTCTGAGAACTGTCAGAAGTGAATTTAAGTGCTGGTGACTGGGCTGCCGAAAAAACATGTGTAGCTCTGTTCTTATCATCACCTCCCATCTTTAGACATTAAAATTTCCTTGTGTGTAAAACATAATGACAAATAAAAAAAAAGCTGCCAGGTCAGAACCAATCTGTTCTTGTGCTATTGTAGTGAGGAAAGGAAAAAAAATCTTAAATTTAAATTCCATGTGGATGTCCCCATGCAATATACCATTTCAAAGCCTGTATACAAGCAAGCCAGAGTGTCATCACACTCCATTTTCCTGTGCGTGTTCCCAGGTCATGTGTGTGTCCCTGCACTGGGACAGGCAGTATATTATCATGCAGTCTTAGACTGGAAAAGGTAGAAACAGATGCTAAAAATGCAAACACTGTGCAGAATGCAGCTCATTGTACTGTGGAACCACCTTCCATCCACCTTCTACAGGAGATGTAGTTCCAGCCTCTTCAGGGAGATCATCTGTTTTTGGAAGGTGGAGGATGGGAGACTAGGGACAGAAATCTATTTTAGAATGAGCACTGCTAATAATGATTGTATTAACAATAGATGCTAGCCAACTTTTTGTTTACTCTGTGCAGGGCAATGTGAAACACTTATATATGTATTCTTTCTTTAATTTCTTACAATAACCCTAGATGTTAGCCATTATTATTTCTGTTTTACAAGTAATAAAGTTGATGGACAGAGAGGTTTAGTGACTTTCCTAAGTTTAGCAAGTGATGGATCCACAATCTGAACCCAAATCTGTGTTGGTTATGTATTGTTGAGTGAAAAATTACCCCCAAATTTCATTGCTTAATACAATTTAAAAAAATATGTTTCTATTCCTTCTCCCTCCCCACCCCCCATCCCTCCTTCCTTCCTTTCTCTTTCTCTTGCAGTTTATTTAAATGAGGATTCAAATAAGCTCAATGCATTTTAATCTACAGGTTTCCTCTTAAAATTTTTTCCTTAACATTTTTTTAAATGTAACATATTTGTTTAAGGAACCAGGTAGTCCTTAAGAGATTTCTGTAGTCTATATTTTGATTACTGCATCCCTGTGGTGTCACATAACATATGCTTTTGTCTCCTACCTTTCCTGTGAGAGAGTGGCTGACTCTGGAGGCTTGATCAACTTCAGGTTTAATTTTCTGGTAAGAATACTTCATAGTTGGTGGTGTAGTCTTCCATCAGGAGGTCATATATACCTTGTTGCCAAAGCCAGTTTTCTCAAGGCTTAGCAGGTCCTGACCAGCGCACTCCTCTGTCCATTTTCTGTTTCTTTGCCCACTTTCATTTTCATTCATTTATTCTGTTATTCATCTCTCACTCTTCAGGGTGGTCAGCCCAGAAAGCCTAAGCCTGCTTCCAGATAGTTCTCCCCAGAATTAGCAGTGGTGGTGGTCGGCCAGTGTGTCTCAGGTCAAATTATTCTGGGAATTACTGGAAAGTTCCAAACCAAAGCCTGTGGTAAGTCCCAACCAAACTGAGTTTTGAAGGATAGTTTTGTTTAAACTGCAGTCCTGGACAAGAGCCAGATTCCACACTCCCTGCAGGCGGAGGTGTCTTTTGGAGTAAAAAGAGCTCGGACCTTTTCTAATCATTCAGGCCAAATACTGGAATTTTCTGTAATAGACTGGAAAATAACAGTATGTTGTTTGTGATGCTTTTGCACATTTTCATCCCTAGTTTACTGTAGCTGCTTAGTTTACTGGAAAATGCACATTTTGAACAGAGGCCTACAATAGTGCAACAGCTCCTAGTATGGTGCTCCATAGTATTTTTTCTTCTTCAAAAAATGTTTTACAGTTTGAGTTCCATATATCCTTGACAAGACAGACATCTGGATTCTAATCCTGGAATTCAAAAAGTTGGTGATGGCACATAATATAGGATATTCATTGCTTGGATTCCAGTTACCAGTTAACTCTTGTAACATTGACCAAGGGTTTCGATTCTTCCTGGAAATTAATTGAAATTGATAGGATATTCATATTAAAATAATTATGCGATTCTAAAGGTTTTTAGAACTTCAGTTTTGATCAGAAATTTCTATTTCTCTTTGCAACTTTGTCTTGAATATAATTTAAAGAAATTAGGCTTCGTTTCACTTAGAAGATAATATAGAATGGTGGTGTTTAAAGGAATGGTTAAAATAACGGTTTTCTTTCTTTACTTTGTAGACATTTGAGGAGAAAAATCTTTTAACAAAGTTATTTATTTTCGCTCTCTTCTAAATTACTTTCAGAACTCGACATCTACTAATCCCAGATATAATATTCTTGGATTCGTATTTCAAATTTTGCTGTCTTGAATCCTTCTATGGAAGTGGGTGGGCTATAA